AGTATTTTGCCTACATGTATGTTAAGTGCACCTATATTGTATAATGCCTGTGGAGGCCAGAAGAGGGCATCAGATCCCCTGGAACTGGATGCAGGCAAAAACACTGCAGCTATAACACACAGTAATCTGGAACCCAAGCTGAGGTGTTTCAGTGTTCAGTGGCATAGCATGGTATGACAGCATGCAGTGCAAAGTGCACATGTGTTCCTAACCAAGGCTACAGCGGAGTCCTGGGATGCAACAGGGGTGAGTGCTGCCAGGAACACCTTCAGCTTGTTACATATTTAAGTTAATTTTTGGTCCTCGTGCATTCAGAAAATCTGTTGTTGCTTTATTTTCTATGACCCCAATATGGAGTTACAGATGGCTGTGGGTGCTAGGAACCGAACCCAGATCCTCTGCAAGAGTAGCCAGGGCTCTTGATCTCTGAGACATCTCATCAGCTTCAGAATTTGTAAATTTATTAATTCTTCAAGAGTTCCATAAATGTATTTTGATCCTATTCCCCCTCCCACAACTCCTCCAAGATTACCTCACCACTAGCTGGGCATGGTGGCGCACGCCTTTAATCCCAGCACTTGGGAGGCAGAGGTAGGCAGATCGCTGTGAGTTCAAGGCCAGCCTGGTCTACCTAGAGAGTTCCAGGTCAGCTGGAGCTACTACAGGGAGACCATGTCTCAAAGAGATAAAAGCCAAAAAAAAAAAATAAATAAATAAAAAAAATAAAACCCCTAAATCAAAATCCCACCACTTTTTTGACCCACTTACTTGATTTTCACTCGCTTCCCGACAAGACTCTAGCTACCCTGACTTTCTTTTACCTGTGCTTCAACTGCACTCTGCTCTCTCCTGGGTTTGGTTCCTGCACACTCTGCGTCCCATGTCCAGAACACTGTCTGCTCTGGTCATCCTCAAAATCCAGCTAAAACATCTCCTTACCCAACTCTTTCCCAGTTTGCCTGGCTGCCTCCTACACCTTCCTAGTTCCCTGGACTGCTCCTGCACCACCGTCCTACACAGCAACAAGCAACTGTGTAACTGGTTGTTCTGTGGCTATCTCCTTGGCAAGAGATGCCTGCTATGAGGGCAGGGACTTGGCATGCTCTTTCACTACTGTTCTCTAACCCTCAGGCATCACATTCCTAACTGATCTGCTGCATCTGTCTGCTGAACAAGTGACTGAGCACTAACAGTCATGATTTGCTCTAGCCAACCACAGTAAGAAAAAGGACAGCTAGTCAATAAGTAGATGGACAGCCCCATGACTCTACTATGTACCAGGGGCAGAAGCACATAAGTTAATCCTACAATAAGTCTGTAAGATACCACTTAGGATCAGTTAAACGCAAAATTAAACATTTAGGAGACAAACTGCTTAAAGGGTCATTTTACACTGAATACATTTCCTCACTCTTTCCTATGTGGGAGGCAATAAATACCTTTCCACTTGTGAATTTTTTCAAGTTTATCAATTATTGAAAAATGATTATTAAAAGAATTATATGAGATGGTTTGGTGTATAAAGGCACATGCTGCTAAGCTTGATGAGCTAAGTTCGATCCCTGAAACTGACCTGTAGAAGGGGAGAACTGACTCCCTCAAGTTGTCCTCTGATCTGCATATGTGACAGTGTGACATGGAATACACACACACACACACACACACACACACACACACACACACACATTTAAAATAAAAAGGAAGTACTTTAGTATCAAGCTAGGAATATACGTTCAATAATTAATTATACTAGAGTCCAATTTTGGGCAAAAAGAGAATTTTTTTCAGGATTCTTTTCAAACTATTTTTTGTCTACTTTTCTTGTTGAAAAAAGAATAAATGCAGTTTTGTGTGCCTAGAATGCCATCAGAGATCAGTTCAAAAGGAGCCGTCAGAGGGAGGCAAGCCTAAGCACAGTGAGGTGTGAGAGGCACTTCTGTGGTTGGCCAAGTATCTGGAAATCCAGAGCACACTGTGAACACACTGCAGCACCCAGCCTTACACACCCAGCCTTTTGGAGGCTCCTCTGCCTTGTGCATGATGCGAATGTGCTAGATAAGAGTTCCCAAACCGATGCACGGTTAACTTCAGTTCACAACGACCACAAATACTGACCCTGGTCTAAACTGGTATTCCAAGGCTACCCATCATTATGAGATAGGAAAGAGGGAAAACTTGTTTTTTTGGCTATTAGTTTGGCCCTAAGATAACCAAAAAATTCCTACAGCAGGCAGTGTTGCTAAGTGGACCAGCACGGAGAAAAGAGAAGCCCAGTAAAACAGCTCAGCAAAGTGAAAATGGAGCCCTGGGCAGGCTGCTCTGTGGTGGGGGTAGAGTGGGCATGCTATGTAGAAAGCAGGGCCTGCAGCTGCCCTTCTTGCCATGGACTACTCATGGGCACCAGACACTGACTCCCTGAAAAACACTGATCTTCAATGATCCTCCTATTCAGACCAAAGAAATGTCCTGCCAACTCTTCCAACAGCACAAAGGCTGGTCCAGGGGGAGTGTAGCTCCCAGCCTGTGTCTAGTGAGCAGGGCACAGGCACGCACTATGATTCATGATGCTGGAAGCCATGGGAGGGAATTGGCACTTTCTGTTCTCAGTCCTGGTGTGGACCAAAGGCAAGTGAACTATGGAAGGATCTCACCTAAAACAGGGTGGAGAAGTGGAAGTTCTGCAAACACAAAACACCATTTCTTCACAAAAAAGGCAAGTAAAATTTAAAGAACAAAATGTTGGGAGAGAGGAAGTGAAGGAGGACACGATCAATCTCAAGATTACCACTGTTTTCAGAATCAGCAGTCAGCAGGACTTGAAATGTCAATTCTGGAACCCCAAGAACATTTTAAGCAAAGGTAGGTATAACAAATTTCACACCTGATTAACAGCTTAATGGGTACCCATGGAGACTTCCAACCAGCAAACAGCAAGCTGGGACTATACATGGACTACAGGATATGAGGTGATGACTGCTCCTAGCAAGTTGAAAAGTACAACTTCCTAAAAATAGGCACGGGTGAGGCAGGGCTGCTCCCTGCAGGCAGCTCACCTCCACAACAGTTAACCGCTGTCCTGAACACAAAAGAACTGTGACATACCCCATGGCCACAGACGGGGCTGCAGAATTACTCTTCAACTCCTGTACATTCACGACTTGAGGGACATTCTTCAAAGTTGATTCCGTCAGAGTACTCACAGCTATAGAAATAAGGGAGACAGACAGAACCACATTAATTCTGGTAATGGGTCAAAAATTCTAACTAAAAATGAGTACCTGGGACAGGAGCTCAGGCAGACTGCAACCTTACTACAGAAAGGAAATGTCCTCAGCAGTGTGGTCCATGGAACACCTGGCCCAATCCATTAACAACACACACAATCTAGTCAAATGTACACTGGACCAGCTTTCTGCAGAGCTGCTGGCTCACCTTGAAAGGGGCAACAAAAGCCAGAGGATTAACTGCCTCCAGTTCAGGACTGCTGCCATTCACTCATCTGTTCTCCTTTCCCATGGGCTTAGGACGTGCCAGGCTCTGTGCGTGGTGTACAGATGCAAATCCTGTCTAAAGTGCAGCTTGTCTATTGGGGCTCATGCTTAATGAGACAGACAGACTGACATAATAAGGTGGAAAACAGCTTGGAAAAGAATGGGAGAAGAGATCAAAAGGCCTGAATTATGGGATAGCAACAGGGATATGTCTAACATCTACCTTATTTAGTTTTAATAATTTTCCATTGCATCCAATAACCCATAATGACTTCTGTAATTAACAACTAGGAAGGCCTGAGAGCAAAGCTCTGGGGTCTCTTCAGGACACATCCCAGGTAGCCTGTGGAATGTGTGGAGACTCCCTTGGTTAGAGAAAGAGCTGGGAAAAAGTTGCCTACACTGCACAGAATTCATCTTCATGCTTGAAGGTACCTACCTACATCTTAGAAAAATTGTTCCAAGAGATAATGGAGGTCACAGCCCTTCTTCCTGTGAGTATACGACCTCAAACCCTGAAGACCCTTATTTTTAAGATTTATTTCTATTTTATGAGTGTTTGCCTACATATATACATATGCACCATCTGTGTGTATGGTGTCCAGAGAGGCCAGAAGACCGGGACTGGAGTTATAGATGGTTGTGAGCCACCATGTGGGTACTGGGAACAGAACACGGGTCCTCTGCAAGAGCAGCCTGTGCTCTCAACTGTTGAGGCTCTCTGTCAGCCTCTCTGACAGTTAAAGTAACTTTACACATAATCAGCTAGAGTTGGGGCCTGAGCTATGTGATGCCAAGATTCTGCCTGTCCATATAACAAAGAGATGAAAGAGCTGTTATGTTCTCAGAGTTTTAAGGTGCTGTAAAGCTATTTTGCCTTTACTTTTTAGTATATGTTTAGTTTATGTCTTAAGAGGGTTATATTTGAACTTTTCTTAGAAATTTCATATTTACTACTTTTTAATGAATTCTAACTTTTGATTTTTTTTCTTTTTCTGTTTTTTTCGAGACAGAGGTTCACTTTGTAGCTCAGGCTGATCTGAAACTCATTATATAGCCCAGACTGGCCTTGAACTTGTCTGCCTATGTCAGCCCCTGAGTGCTTGGAATATATGTGTGAGCCACTCCAACTAGCTCATAATTCTTTTCTGCCTGTATCAAAATCACAAGTTAAAATATTTGGCTCATAACAGTTTTCCAGCCTTGGCACTATTTACACTTGGGGGCTAGAGAACTCTTTCTTGTGGAGGTGTTCTCTGTGTTTTAAGATTCTTCTGTGGTATTCCCGTCCTGGACTCACTAAATGCCAGTAACACTGCCACCTGCTTGGCGAGGTGAAAGAGAACTACCGGCTTGCCAAACTAGTGAAGATTAGTCTGTAGGCCCAACTATCCAAACTGTTAAATCCTGATTAGAAAAAGTTGGATAACAACAAACCATTGACAAAATGTTAGTGCAGATCAGCCCCTCTGCAAAGGCTGAATCTATAATGTTAAGAAAGAGCTGTTCTGAAAATGAAAGAGAACAGGGTTGGAGCCAGAGTTCTACTCCTCAGGTAACTCTCACTCCTTTGAATCGCACACCACTCAAACACAGACACACCAACACCTTCCCTCTCAGGTGCTAGGATCCTTAAAACAGGATTCTAATGTTATTAGATAGACTAAATTCCAAGATCCAGGTTAGGACCAGGGTAGATATCATCATTCAAAAGTAGTAATATTTGATCAATATTATCAAAACCCACCGATTTTCAGGGTAAGTAAACATGGCAGATCAAATACTGCCCCTTCAAAGGGAAAAATGTGAGACCTAGTCTCTTCCTGGGCACTCTGTTCCCACGGGGTGAGGGCCATCTTGCCAGCCTTGTCTTCTGAAGCACAGCAAAGAAAGCCAGTTGTCGCCTGCCCCAGTCCACACCTGTGGCTCAGGAAGCTCCTAATTGCTTTCCCAGGTGTGGGGCCTTTACCTGGTGTCTGACTGGCCATTTGCCGTCTCAGGGCTGCAGCGGCAGCTGCCTGGGGAGCTGCGACGGTATGGGAAGGACCAGGTGCTCCGTGCTTCACGGTTTTTGTTGCCAGCATTGTACTGTCAGCTCCTTGAGGGATAGTTTTGCTAGTAGATGTAGCTACTGAAAGGAAAAGAACAATTATTTGAAAAAGTACGTCAGTGCGGGGGCGATACAAAGTTAAGATGGTAAATTCAATGTTAGACCACAGGAAAAATGCTTAAATAAAAATTCTTAAGCACCAACATAGAAAAGTACCAGCAAATTGACAGTCTGGCATCTGAGTTTTTTAAAGACACCAGACTGTGTGCCTCTCCAACTCTACCATCAGCTAAAAGCTAGGCAGCCATTTCCCCTGAACTGGTGCTGAGAACATTCATAGACACAGGCTCTGATCTCCTGTAAAACTGAGTCATTCCAGTATCTCACAAACATGCATGTTTTCTGCTAGAAGCCACTCTGACACTGCACTGCAGCTGGGAGCTACGTGCCAGGGTGCCCCAGGAGGCTGGAATAACCTGCACTGCAAGACAAAAGCATGGATGCTGCTTTACCCTGAGATGAACATTCCTTTCCTATTATCCCTGAAAAAAATATATTAAAAGACAAAACAATGTCACAGTACAGCTATTGCAGCTTAACTGGAGAGTCCTAATCCATAGTGGCCCTCCCAAACACTTTCAAGGGGAAGTTGCAGTTTTTTAATTAGTCTTCTGTTAGCAGAAATGAGCTAGAATCTCAGTGGTCTAAGTCAGTCTAAACCCCAGTTACAGTTTCTTCATGAGTTAGAAAAGAACATGGATGAAAGTTTCCTTTTTCCTGATCGACTCACTGGGAGTTCCCATCACAGCAGGTGAAGAGCCATGAATCAGATGGGACTTCGCGAAAGGCATCGTTTGGGGCAGGAGACCAGGCTGGATGGAAGGTGTGCGGACCACAGGGGCATGCCGAGGGACCTGGACAACAGTCTCCTCCTCTTTGCATGGTGGCCGGGCATCTTCTCCCTCCAGAGACTGGGAGATGGACGATGTGGAGCTGACTTCATCTAAGTCTTCGTAGTATCTCTGAGACAGGAAGGCTGACCGAGACAGGCTGGCTACACCCCCCCAAGGCCCCCAAAACATCATTTAGACAACTCAAAAAGCAATTTTATTATACATTTAAGTGGAAATAGTTGTTGCTAACTGTGGACAAAGGGAGTTTGGGGTCTTTGCTCAAAAATGCTTTGAAAAACTAAGTTGCACAGTGTAAGGCCAGCCTATTAGACAAAAGACGGAAAAAAGGGAGACAGCATAAATGCCGATGGAAAAGCAAGAGACCGCGAGCTTTTACCAGGAGGAAAAAGTCTATATTAGAAAAGGAACAGAGCAGCTTCCAGGACAGGGCGAACAGTCATACCATTACTGTTTTCCAACAATAACCCAAGAACATGCCTGACAGGTTGCAAAAGTCAGAACGGCCTCAGTCTGAGTGTCTCATGCTTTTCCAGATGAACCCAGTGATTCTTGTGAATCAGTCTACTGGGGGTAAACCCACCACCTCAAAATGAAATTTAACTCTGGCTTCTTTGCTTTTTTTCTTTAAACTACAAAGTCAGGTCTTACGCCATGCTACCTTCCACCATACCATGATCTTCACAATGCATGCTACTGCCACACACTGGGCAAAACACAATCACACAGAACACCTAACCCCCTTTCTCCCCAAGTTATTCAAAGAGGCACTCAATCTTTACTGATTTGTCTGTCCTGTAGGCTCATTACAAGATTTTAATGTCATAATGTAAGTGCAACATAAACCAATGCCATGTTGCAGAGCTGTGCTGCTCACAGTCACACTGGGTATTTAAAGTAATTAAGTACAGGGGCTGGAGAGATGGCTCAGTGGTTAAAAGCACTGGTTGCTCTTGCAAAGGACCCAGGTTTGATTCCCAGCACCCCACATGGCAGCTAACAATTGTCCATAACTCTAGTTCCAGGTGATCCAATGCCTTCTTCTGACCTCAGGCATCGCATGACATAGGTGCACGTACATATATGCAGGCAATATACTCATACACATAAAATAAAAAAATTTAAAGTAGTTAAGTATAAATAAGAAAATTCCATTTCTCAGATGCACTAGCTACATTTCAAGTGTTCAATGGACATAGGTAGCTGTCGTTACCATGTTGTAGATTACTGTACTGGAGTATCTGAGGCAAATAACCTGCGGCAGGCCACTGAAAAGCACCAGTGTATCAGTTAAGCTGCAGTTCCCATGTACTGAGAACTTGCTTGGTGCTAGGTGGGGTGCAAAGCACCTGCATTCACTGTCCCATTTAATCTATACAATCTAATTTAAAATCACTAATATCTGAACTTATGGCTAATGCTTACAAAGGTTAAGTAGTTTGCCTAACACTACAAAGTTGGTAAGTGGCAGAATTCAAGCCCCTGCGCACCTACCTTCAAAGAGCATGCTCTCAACACTGCTGCATGAGATGGGCCCTATGCCAGGCAGAATTACCACTCTGGAGCCTCATACACACGGCCACGTTATGGGAGCTGGCAAAAGGAATTCTTTGCCTGCTACTCATCTGTTGACCTTAACACAGGTAAAATCCCACGAATCCTTAAAAGCACAGGGAAAAGGGTTGGCAGGATGGCTCAGTGGGTAAAAGGCACTTGCCGCCAAGGGTGATGATCTGAGTTCAATCCTTGAAATCCACATGGTGGAAGGAGAGAACTGACTCCCATGGGTTGTCCTCTGACTTGCATATGAGTGCAGTCTGTCTCACACACACACACACACACACACACACACACACACACACACACACACGCACGCTCGAGTGTGCAATGTGGGGTTGTGGGGAATGTTCAGGAAGACAGATCTGGAGCAAGGGCACTCCTGTGCAATGCCGGGCTGCAGATGAGGGTGCAGAGAACACACAGAGGAGACAAATGCCTCATCCTGCAGCTGCAGGGGGACTGCAACCTCCAGGAGCTTACAAGTGGCACCTCCCCACAGCTTCCATGGAGAAGCCAAGCATAGCTAACACCTTGAGTCCAGCCTCTGTATCCTGTGGAACAGGGCATGTGGTCTCAGGTCTGCAGCATGCTAAAATAGTAGATGGTGCTATAAGTCACTAAGTTCGTAGTGATTTGTTATGGCATCCAAAGAAAACTAATATAAAGCCCAAGTTCTCTGGGGGTCATGTCACCTTATGTCTTCCCTCTAAATAGCTCAAGAAAAACAAACAAAAGACAGAGTTGGGTTGTAAGCCCAGTCCAAGAGCATTTGTCTATCATGTGTACAGCCCTGGCTTTGATCCCTAGCACCAAAAAACAATTATAATGTACAGAGGAGAAGTGAGAAACAAAGCAACTGTGGCAATTGGTAACTGGGAAGCAAAGATGCTTCTTGAGTTACTACAAGGTTACACCTGATAAGCCTAGTGTAAGCTGAAAACAGGAGTCAAGGGGCATTCAATACACCTCGGCTACAAACACCACAGCTTAGCTGATCTACACTAATGTGCTCAGAATGCTTATGTTAGCCTACGGTTGGGTACATCACTAACACAAAACCTATTTTTAAGAAAGTATTGAGTACTGGGGCTGGAGAGATGGCTCAGCGGTTAAGAACACTGACTGTTCTTGCAGAAGCACTGGGTTCAAATCCCAGCACCCACATGACAGCTAACAACTGTCCGTAACTCTAGTCCCAGGGGATCCAACAGACTCTTCTGACCTCTGCGGGTATTGCATGACACCGGTGCACTTACCTACATGCAGGCAATACACTCATACATGTAAAAAAAAAAAATAATAATAATAGTAATAAATAAAAAAGAAATTTAAGAAAATATTATCTTGTATAATTTATTAAACACGGTCCTAAAATTGGAAAACAAAGTGGCTTAGTGAGCACACTTTCACCTCATGGTAAAGTAGAAAGATCCATCAAACTCAAACTAGTGTCAAGTCATGAGCCATCCTACACAGGTGGAGGGTAATGAAGTGTTTAGTCCCTATATTCTTTTTAATGTGGGGGGGGGTGTTCAACTGTTTTTCAAAATAATAAATTAAAAATAACAATGTCAAATTAAAATAAGTATAAACAAAAACATAACTTTCTTATATGTCTACATAACAATACCTTAGAGAAGTGGAATGTGTAAGAGGATTTGTGTATGTGTGTGTGTGTGTACATGCATGCAATTTGTGTGTGTATGTGCCCATGCACATGTATGTGAAGGCTAGAGCAGAACATTAAGAGTCTTCCTCTATGGCTCTTCACCTTCTTGCCTTGAGCACAGTCATGTCCATCTTTTAAGTGGGTGCTAGGGATTCAAATTCAGGTCCTTACACTTGCAGAGTGAGCTCTCTACCCACTGAGCCATCTCTCCAGCCCCAAGAGGTGTTTGTAGGATCTGGCAACTCTGTTTCTTAACCTGGGTAGAGGTTACACAGACTTTCGTTTTCGTTTTGTGTACTTTTCTGTGTGATACAAGCTACAATTTTAAAAATTAAAAAATGTTTACACGCAAACCGTGGTGGTGGCATATGCCTAGAGTCCTAGCACTTAGGTCGTGGAGGCAGGGGGATCATTAAGTTCAACAGCATCATCAGTTACACAATAAACTGAAGGTCAGCATGGACTACAGAAGATCCTGGTCTCAAAAAAGGGGGCGTTTCCATGCTGAGTCACCCTTCCCACCAAACAGACAGTGAGGCTTTCAGCTCAATGTCTACAGTCTCTTGATTCAAAACTCTGTGTTCAGAAGCCTTGATTCTCTTATTTATCACTGTCTGGAACAAAAGCAACCAAATCTGCTGAATGAATGAGCAAAGAGTGACACAAACCTCAGTCTAAGGGGTTAATCACAAAGCTACAATCAGATATTCTGTTAAGGGTTTGTCCCACTAACAGCACATGAAGGTTCCCTTTTCTTCAGACCTTCACCAACAGATCCTCAACATATCCTCAGCTACATAGTTTGAGGTCAACCTAGGTTACATGAGACCCTATCTCCAAAGAGCAAAAGTAAGAACAAAAAAATTAAGGGATGGGATGTAGCTCATTGCTTTGGTGGAGAGATGGGTTAACAAGTACAGGGTCTGGGTTTGACCCCCAGCACTAAAAGGAAAAAAAAAAAATTCAAGGAATTATCTAGATAATTCTTAAAAAGAACATTTCATCTGTTTGATTTCTGCTTTTCAGCAAGTATTTTTAATTTTCAGTATTTTTATTTATTTACTCTGTGTATACCACAGGACATGTGGAAGTCAGTGAACAACTTGCAGAAGAAGCCTGTCTTCTCCGTTCCACCATATTTGTCCCAGGAATCCAACTCAGGTCATTAGGCTTGGTGGCAAGTGCCTTTACCAGATGAGCCCTTAGCAGGTATTTAAAATTATCAATGTAGTTTTTCTTTCTCAAGGTAGATTTCCTCCAGTGCAGTGCTGCTGAAAACCCACATAAGACAGAGCGAATGAGGCTCCAATTCAGCTGACCCCATGCCCTTGTGAATCACTGCCATGTCACCTGGGCACTGCATGCGACCAAAGCCCAAACAACAACCTCGAGTGTTTCATCCAGGACACGAGCTGCTGCTTATTCCAATATTCAGATAGAAAACAAATTTGGAGAACATTTTCTTTATCCCTCATTAAAGGCAAAAGTGACACCTCAATTCTACTGCACCCCAGTACTATATGGTCCCTTTACCTGGAGCAGTGGATCGCACTGGTGGGGTCTTCCTCTTAGCCAAGAAGTTCCTCAGCTGGGCCTGTTTCGCAGGGGACAGTTTAGCTGCAAGAAATTCATTGATCCACAATGCTGAAGGTTCAGCTTTAGAGCCAGTTTAGAGCAGAAACCATGCTAGGAGACTAAGAGGGGCATTTACCTGGTACTTTGGGAGAGGGGTTGGTGTGAGATTCAATGGTGGTTTTTAGCAGAGCATTGCGCAGGCTTTCGAGGTCACTGTCAAAACTGAAACAGGACAGTGTAATACCTAAACCCAAGAGCTGAGCAAACTGAGGGAGCACACACACGATTCCCAAGAGAGAAGCGGGAGGCTACAGAAGGACTCCATCTCAACTCACGTTAAGAGGAAGGACAACAACTTCAGTACCACAACACTAACATGGCACCACAAGAGAAGGGCAACTAAAATATGTGAGCGGCCTAAAAGCAGAAACATGAAGCCAGCTGAGTAAGTTTGGGGGTAAAGTGCCTAACTGCACAGACCTGAATGTCTCCACGGGCAAGCAGAGTGGCAAATCTGACTTCTGAGGCAAGATAGAAAATGCAACCCTATTAAGCTATCATCAGCAAAGCAACCACAGTGTCACTGGTAACTGCTGGAGCCTACTGAGCACCTATTTTCATCTGGCACAATGTTCCACGCATTGTGGACTTAACTCCCCAACAAATCCAAAAGGTAGGTATTGGTATCCCTATCTTTCCAAGCAAAGGAACTGAGGGTTCAGGGCGGGTGAAGAACCGGACCAGGACCAGCTGAGAGCCAGCACTCACTTTCAAATTCACACCTGAGCCACTCTCAGACTACTTCACATTGTTCCTTAACTACTGATTCACGCACCCACCAGTCCTGACGGAACACTGAGTTCTCGCATACCTGTGAGTACTCTGATTGACAAACGTTGAAGGCAGGCTCCATGAGGACGTCTGGTTATAAAGACGGAGCTTCTGGAGACTGTCTACCAGGTGATTCAACCTCTTCCTCTGTTGGTTGATGATTTCCCGGTTGTTGGCTAGTGTGTTGAACAGTGTCTCTCGCTCTGGTACCAGCAGGCGCCTGATTACAAGGAAGAAAAAAAGAAGACACCAACAGCTCTCCTCAACCCCACAGAACACAGGACCATGATTATATCAGCAAAGTAAAATGGAGACCCACAAGTGGACAAGAAATGTCAAGAAAACAGTAGTAAGTATAAGGGGGATGAAGATCTAAGAGAGAAAGATGTAGAGACAAATTTTTTAAAACACTAAGACTGGGGCTGGAGAGATGGCTCAGCCACTAAGAGCATTGGCTGCTCTTGCAGAAGACACAGATTCAATTCCAAGAACCCATATGGCGGCTAACCGTCTGTAACTCCAGTTCCAGAGGATTCAACACCCTCTTCAGTCCTCCGAGGGCACTGCACCACAAAGGTGCATTTACAAACATGTAGGCATTAACATTCATGCACATAAAATTGAAAAAAAATAAATAAATAAGGCTAAGACGATGTAGGCCAGGCCTGCAGCAAAGGAGCAAAGGACAGGAGAAACTGGGCAAAACGGTGGGAGCGAGGCAGGAGCCGAGACCAGGGCAAATCCCTCCATACTCGGGATTGTGGCGTTCTGTATGCAAGTTACTCAATAAAAATGGAGACAACAAGGTGTGGGTTTGGAGGCCTGCAATACCAGCACTCTGGAGGCAGAGGTAGCTGGATCCCTGGCAGTGTGTAGGGGCCAATGAACTCTAAGACACCACAGTTGCTGGAAACAGGGAGGTCATCTGCCCCGAAGAGTGAGTGAAAGACTGTGGCTGCTGCTGGGTGGCAGGTCTAAGGGTGGAGAGATAGGTCTTGATTTTTCTAGTTTTCATTATAAACCCTTTAGCACTAGTAAAAAATTATCTATTAACCTGAGGAAAAAATTATACAACTAAAACCAAAATGAGTAATCCTATGTGAGCTATAAGCCACCTGGTTTCTCTGCTTTTTGTATTTTTAGGTTTTTATTGAGACAGGGTCTCCCTGTAGCCCCAGCTGTCCTGGAACTTGCTATGTAGACCAGGCTAGCCTCGATCTCAGAGACCCGCCTGCCTCTGCTTTCAGAGTGCTGGGATTACAGGCATGCACCTTCATGCCTGGCTTGTTTCTTTCCAATGCTCTCTCTCTCTCTCTTGCCACATAACTGGTCACAGAGTTAAAATATGCTTATGCTGAACAGAAAGATGCAGCTTTCTTTCCTTTCCTCAGAGACAAGCATTTGAGCTAGTGATGGGCTCTGGTGACAGAACACTTTTTAGAAAGGACTTTTTAGTTAGGTGCAAGGGGTATTTCAAGAAGGGCTGAAGTGGAGAAGTGCTGAGCAATAAGCTGCACGGTAAAGTGCTAGACCTCCGCAGCCAGAACCGGAGGAGCTAGGAGAAGGAAACACACAGAGCTGTCAGAACACAAAGCTGGCTTCTGCACAGCCTGCTTATTAATGAGCAAAGAGCTGGAAGCAGAGCAGAGGCCTCACTCTGCCTTGTGGGGATCAGAACTAGAGGAGTGAGTTATGGCACCTCTAAATGGGCCCAAACACCCAATGAGACAGGGAATCCAGTCTACAGAATCCTCCCCTGGGCAGAGCCAGGGAGAACCTCTCAGCCAGTCTCCTGACAACTGCTCCAAGCTGAGGATCCTTTGCTTGGGCTTTTCCACCATCTCCACATACCGTGTGTCATTTGGTCAATTCTGTCTCCTGAGCTATAGATGTTGTAGACCTGTTTCTGGAACACACCCACTGTCCCATGGAAAAGCTCCATGATCCCATAACTCAGCAACAAATCAACACATCAGCAGTTTGGGACTTGTTTTGTCCAGTAGAGTGTTAATTACAGTAATTTAGTGCTTTCTTCAGAAATCTAACACTTTAAGGGCTGATAATCCTTTCAAATTTCTTGTGGGTACTTCTTGGCTCTCAGTATACTGCACACTACTCCTTCCAGAATACAGGGACAGAAAACTAGGCTGCAAGGTCTCCTTATGCATTGTAGCATCCTTTTAATGAGCCACGTTAATCAGAAATGTTTTTTCAAAGCCAGGTGTGATGCCAGGAGTGGTGACGCATGCCTTTAATACCAACCCTCAGGAGGCAGAGGCAGGCAGATCTTCGTGAGATAGAGGCCACTCTGGCCTATCCTGTCAAACAACAACAACAACAACAAAAACAACCCAAAAAACAAACCACACATGTTCAGACCTGTAATTCCAGCACTTGAAGACTGAGACAGGAAGACTGCCAAGAGTCTCAGGCCAGCCTGGGCTACCGAGGTAAGGCCCTTTCTCAAAAACCCCAAAAACCAAAACCAAAAGAACACCACCACCATCACAACAACACAAGAGTCAGGGGTGGTTGTGCATGCCTTAGGCAAGTGGATCACTGTGGGTTTGGGGCCAACTTGGTCTACATATCAAGTTCCATGGCTATACAGTTGAGACCCTGTCTCAAACAATACAAATCTAAAGAAAACAAGCAAAAATAAGTTATTTTCTCAAAAAGACAACTTGGGAATACTGACAAATACACAAATGAAAATCTCTCTTTAATCGTATACTGTAATGTTTTTTTTTGTTTTTTTTTTTTCTCCTCTAGGTTTTTTACGACAGGGTCTCCTGTAGCCCCAGCTGTCCTGGAACTCACTATGTAGACCATGCTGGCTTCAATCTCAGAGATCTGCCTGCCTCTGCCTCCCGAGTGCTGGGATTAAAGACTGCACCACCACGCCCGGCCAGAATACTGTAGCTCTACCTATGAATACTGACAGATCGGCTTCCATCCAGTCTCTTTTCCACATTTGTACGTTTCCACTGAAATCACGGAAAATGCGTTCTACCTTAATTTTTATATACGGACCTAAAAATCAACGATATAATGATCTATTTTCTACATGTGATACAACATGAAAAGCATCTAATGTAATTTATTGAGAACATGGCATTCGGTGGTTACATAGTATTTTATGTACTTTTGTAGGTACTGTGATGCTGGAGATCAAGTAAGCCTGCACGTGCATGGTAGGCAATTACTTTAACGTGAACTAAATTCCCTGTCCTATGTAGTTTGGGAATTGTGCTGTGATACAACTCATTCATGTGAATTATGATCACCATCACTCGGTACTTTTTTAAGTAGAACTGAGAAATGAAAGGGCCATCAGGAGGAAGCTGTGAGGGTTACATGTGCTCTGCCCAATCTTTCAAGAAAGCCAAAGGCAATGCCTCCTGCAGCCTTGCCAACGAGACAGTGTGCTCACTTTTGCTTCTTCTTCTGCTCCAGATGCCGATCCCACTCTAAGTCTAGAACATCATTGACATCTTGGACAGCAAATTTCACATACTGATGAAGGCGCCGGATTTCCTACAAGAAAAAATTAAAAGGCAAATGACTAATTTTTCTGCTAGCTTGGGGGAAGATGTATCAAAACAGACAAAATAATTCTGAAATATTTCTCTACTGAGAAGTCTATGAACAGGGAAAACACACTAGGTTTTAATCAGCCATTAAAACCTTATAATTAAAATGAAGAACAGAAAATCCAGACAGAGACAGAGCAAAAGGAAAGAGAATGGGTGTGGCAGCTCCAGGTCCAAGGACTAAATGCTCCACTCCATTTTGGTTTTCAGCTCCTGGAAAGGACCATGACCCGTGGGGCTTTTCCACTGCACGCTGGTACTCAGACACAGTGCATCCATTTACTTTTGCTCTCCACCCAGGAAATTAACCATCACAGACAAAACTGTACTGCAAACAGTGCTGAAAACAATTCTGATCCTATCTATTCACATCATAGAACATGTAAGTCATCTCCACCACTTGAGAAATACTTCTCAAAAACACAAAAGGGGGGCTGGGGAGATGGCTCAGCAGTTAAGTACTGGCTGCTCTTGCAGAGAACCCAGGCAATTCCCAGCACCCACGTGTCAGCTAACAACCATCCGTAACTTCAGTTCCAAGGGATCCAACCAACATTCTCTTCTGACCTCCTCAGGTACTGTATGATGGGTACGCTTATATACATTCAGGCAGAACACTCATACACATTAAAAAAAAAAAGAAAAACCCAAACCAAAAAACCCAAAAGCACAGAGTACCCATACCAGAAACCCAATTTACCACTATCACAACTCTTGTTCACCTATTACTTAAGCCTGTAATAACATTCTTCAAACTTGGGGCATTGTTAACCTTCATGGCTATGCAACTTGACTTTCAAACGTTAAAGATAAAGATGAGAGCGTGGTGGTGCACGCCTTTAGTCCCAGCACTTGGGAAGCAGAGGCAGGCAGATCTCTGTGAGTTCAAAGCCAGCCTGGTCTGCATAGCAAGTGGAGGCCAGCTGGGGCTAAAGAGAGATCATGTCTCAAAAAGACAGAAACAAAAAAAAAAAAAAAAAAAAAAAAAAAAAGACTAAACAGTCAAATGTGCACACAACGTGCCACATTCCAGACTGAGCTTGTCACATGTGTTAAGGATCTAACCATGCTGGAATGCAGTCTACAAATTATGCTTAGATAAGTGTAAATGTCTCAACTACAAAACAGAAAATGTCATTTAAAAGGAGGCAAGCTGGTTCCAGGGAGGCAGCACCAGCCTTACTGGTATTCAGATCAATGCTCGGTGAGTGGAGGAGGGTCTGTCCTTCGCCCTCTTCAGCCGTGACCATGGCTCTGTACTAGCTAACACCAACTGGTGGTCCATCAGAAACCAGTGTTTCCTGTGAGACCTGTCACAAACACTTCTGCTCAGGGGCTTACGTGCTCTCATCTGTGGTCCTGTGGGAACACACACATGCTATATTCATGTCTCTGGTTGTCACCTAGCTGCAGAAACTGCTTAGCACAGTACCCAAGAGCAAAGGCTCTGAAGTCAGATGGTTCAAGGACCCAGGTTCAAGGACCTAGGATTCATCAGTTATGAAATCTGGACAGTTGCACTATCTTTGCTTTGTATATAGTAAGTGCTCAATATATTAGTTTCCTATTATCATGTATTTAGCACCATAAAAAGAAAATTATTCCTTTATGAATGGGAAGCCGAGTGGTTTTTTATTAGCTTGGCAACTGAAGGAGAGTGGAGAGGGCATGCAGGAGAGTGCGGAAGAGGCATACCTGCAGAGGAGGCTGTAATGTGACAAGCAAAACATGGGAGGAAACACCCACAGTGGAAGGAGGGACTGTCAGCGGTCCAAGAGGGCTGCAGGGGACCTCTGGGACAAGGGGCCACGCCTCTCACTTTCCTGCTCTTGGAAATCTACCAGGCACAGGATGAAAAAGGCTGCCCAAGTCATCTGTGGCAGGAGGACTCTAACGCCCATGGATCTGGGCCTGAGATGAGGAAGATCAGGACAGCCTACACGGGCCCTCTGGGATTCCAGGCTAATGGGAGGAAGATCACCTGCCCATTAAGGCAAATAAAACCCAATTAGCTAAAGCAGGAATGAAGAACAGCTAAGAATACAGGAAAGGCAACTCTGTAAAAGGTGATGGAGCCAGCACTGGCAGAGGTTCTGACTCTGGTTCCACTCGTTCTAGCCACCATGGCCTTGGTAAGGTAAGGAAGTTTATGGAAAGCTTGGTTAAATTACTAGCAGAAAATCAACAGCTTCTAAGAGTCAATCACCTAAACCCACGCCTCAAAAAAGAGCAAAGACAGCAATAGTCGCAATGCATTAGTTTTAATGTCTTCTCAACAGACTTAAAATATCTTCACCTACCTGGAGCTGAGCCTCACTCTTGGGATCCAGCGGTCTTTTGTAAAGCAGATGGAGATACCCAGGATCATGGTTTCTTCCATTCTGCTCTCTGGCCTCTTCAACACCAGCAAAGCCCTCCAGCAAAGTTGTTTTCAGGGTACTTATATCTCCATGAAGAGACTAGAAATTGCATAGAGATGCACTGATAGAATTGCTGTTGCCAAGAAATTAAACTTCTGTGTGGTAAGGATTGTGGAGCTTCTCAACTATTTAACAAAATGGAGTCTTACAGTCACGTTAAAAAGCTTCATTGCTTGGAAAGAAAGAGACTAATGCTTTTTTAAAAATTATCTTTTGTCCTGATTTCAAAACTACATGCTCTGATGATGGACAATGCAGCCAGTAAGCAGGGCAGGACAGCCCTGCAACCCAGCTCCACGACAGCAACTTTAATCCCAGGGACTTTCTCTTTCCAAGCATGGCGTTTGAGACCAGAAGTCTGGAGACACACTTCAAAAGGAGATCCCGGCAATCTTCCTTGCCAAATGGGGACTCTCAAAAACCCATTTTGCCTGTCTAAGCCTCCCTTTCCTGAAGTACAAAGTGGGGAGAATCACAACATGCCCTACGCAGCAGAGCTAACGTTGGTACAGTGTTCTGTGCCTGATGGAGTACGCAGTAACAAGAGTGACAGCATGTTTGGCATTTTGTACTATGTATCTCCAAAACACTGTTTTCTTTTTTTTTTTTTTTTTTTTTTTTTTGAAAAAAAAAAAAAAAAAAAAAAAAAAAGAGGACGATAAATCTTTCACTGTGATATATCAAAATAA